TCAGCTGACCCCAGGCTCAGTGCAGCTGCCCCTTGGAAAGGTCTCCCCAGCGTTTCCAAGGGGCAACACCATGGGAGCCCAGGGTCAGCTGGAGCCCCCAGATGACCCCAGGCTCCGTACAGTGCTGCCCCTTTGAAGCGCCACCCCAGCGCCTCTAAGAGACAGCGCATTAGGAGCCAAGGAGCAATTGGAATGCCCAGCTGATCCCAGCTCTGTGTTGCACTGCTCCTTTGAAGCACCAAACCTGTGCTTCAAAGGGGCACCGTAACACGGAGCCGGGGATCAGCTGGGCATTCCAACTGATCCCCAGCTCCTAATGTGCTACCTCTTTGAATCTTCAGACCAGCAATTTAAAGGGGCAGTGAATCTCAGGAGCGATGCATCAAAGGGGCAGTGCAGTATTAACGCCTGTGATTAATGTGTTAAAAAAATTAGCAGGTTAATCCTTCCCTGCGTTAATCGTAGGCATTAATGCACATCAGTTGATAGCCCTAATAACTAGTGGTATCCCCAAAGGGTTTGTACTGGGACCAATCATATTTAACTTATTTATAAATGATCTGAAGAAAGAGGTAAACAGCGAAGTGGCAAAATTTAAAACATAAGAATGGCCATGCTGGGTCAGACCAAAGGTCCATCTAGCCCAGCATCCTATCTTCAACAATGGCCAATGCCAGGAGCCCTAGAGGGAGTGTACAAAACAGATAATCATCAAATGATTCCTTTCCTGTCATCCATTTCCAGTCTCTGACAAACAGAGGCTAGGGACACCATTCCTCCCCATCCTGGCTAATAGCCATTGATGGACCTAACCTCCATGAATCTATCTAGTTCTTTTTTGAACCCTGTTAAAGTCCTGGTCTTTGCAACATCATCCAGCAAGGAATTTCACAAGTTGTTTGTACGCTGAAGAAAAATTTCCTTACATTTGTTTTAAACCTGCTACTTATTAATTTCATTTGGTAACCACTAGTTCTTATGTTATAGAAACAAGTAAATAACTTTTCCTTATTCACTTTTTCCATACCAGTCATGATTTTATGGACCTCTATCATAGTCCCCCTTAGCTTCCTCTTCTCAGCTGAAAAGTCCCAGCCTTTTTAATGTCTGTTCATATGGGGCCCATTCCAAACCCCTAATCTTTTTGTTGCCCTTTTCTGAACCTTTGCCAAGGCCAATATATCTTTTTTGAGATGAGGCGACCACATTTGTACACAGTATTCAAGATGTGGGCATACCATGGATTTATATAGAGGCAGTAAAATATTCTCTGTCTTATTCTCTATACCTTTATTAATGATTCCTGCTTTTTTGACTGCTGCTGCACACTGAATGGATGTTTTCAGAGAACTGTCCACAGTGACTCCAAGATCTCTATCTTGAGTAGTTATAGCTAAATTAATTCCCATCATGTTGTATGTATAATTGGGATTATTTTTTCCAAAGTGCATTACTTTGCATTTATCAACATTAAATTTCATGTGCCATTTTGTTTCCCAGTCACTTAGTTTTGTGAGATCTTTTTGAAGCTCCTCACAATCGACTTTGGTCTTAACTATCTTGAGCAGTTTAGTATCATCTGCATATTTTGCCACCTCACTGTTTACTAGTTTGCAGATGATATTAAACACCCAATGACATCAAAAGCTAAGTATCAGGCACTCACAACCCACTCTACTATCATAGTTTAGCACACACTAATTGATAAGACTTTTTCCCTTTCCCGCCCCATCTCCCCTCTTTTTCTGCTATTTATTTGTACTGCCAGGCCCCATACTCCATTCATCTGAAAAAGTGGGTTGTGCCCATGAAAGTTCATGATGCTATCTATATTTTGCTATATATATTATATCTATATCATGATGCTATCTATATTATATAGATCTGTGTTAGTCTCTAAGGTGCTGCAGGACTATTCATTGTTTTTTAAGTTATTTCAGTGTGTGTTAGGTACCAAAAGCCCTGGACTACACTAGAAAATTAGATCACTTTAAATTAGTCAGGGATGGCAAAAGTCCATAACCCCTTGATCAGCATAGTTAAGAGAGTTTATGTCTCCATCTATACAGCACTAGGTCAATGAAACAATTATCCCATTGATTTAGCTACCACCTCTCTGGAAGGTTGATTATCACTGAGTGGATAACTCCTCTTCTCTCCTCACCTCCGATCCACATAGATAGTGGAAGTGCAGCTTCTACCACTGTTGCATTTTAAGTGTAGAGAAGTCGCTTTTGAAAATGAGACTTTGGTTCCTATGTCAATTTTGAAACATTGAGGGGAGCAATACCAGAATGCCTTTAAAAATCTGCACCTAATTCGTTTAAATTTCTGGTCTAGTTAGTAATCCTATTAACATAAGTGTGGCTTCTAACATTAGTAAGTGTTTGCCAAATTGGGCCAGTCCTTCAAGTTTCTGAATGCTGAACTGAATCCGATTGGAGATTAGGGTTCTTGACACTTACCATGACCATGACCAAAGTATGCAGAGTGTTACAAAATTGTTACCTTATGTAACTATTCCCTTGAAAATCATAAAAAAGTAGTATTGTGGAGGGAAGATATGGAAAGGTAAGGAGGAAAAAAAGAAATATTTACCATTTGTATTAAATTGTATAAAATACATTGAGGAAGATGAAAAGAAAGGACGAATGTTAACTAAATATAACTGCCATGTCAAACATACATCAAGTCACAATTGAACACTCATAATGGACTAGAAAAATCATATCCAATATTTCATATCATATGCATCTATGTGAAAAGATCTGCTCTAGGAATTATTTCGGGGAAGTTCCTTCTAGCCTTGGAATCTATGATTTTATAATTATTTAAGGAAACAAAAGCTAAATATCTGTCAGAACATTGGTAAACATGTCCTAGACTACATATTTTAATTTCTAAGTTAAAATAAAAATAAAGGGTTTGTTCAGTCCTAAGCAAGCAATGAACTCTCTTGGAGTAGGATTTGTTTTCAGTAATATTATCTTTTACCTTTACTTTTAAGCAGAGTAGTCACCGAATTCATTTACGAGAAAGATAGAAACAAATACAGATTCCTCCAGTAATTTATTTTAGCCACTGATTATACTCACTGATGGCTATTTTCTGTATGGTTCAAATAGCAGAATAATACAATCATCATTTGGTTTGAATAGTGGCTTAAATTGGTGGAATGCTTAGAGAGTATTAAATACAGGCAGTCCCCGACTTACGTCGGATCCGCAGTTACGAACAGGGTTTTTCTCGCCCCGGAAGACGGGAGCGGCGGGACGCCCAGATGTGCCGCGGTCCCGCCGCCCACGTCCTCCGGGC